ATATAAACCAATCATGGCGTTTTGTCTATGAGATAATAAGATGGTGAATATAAATTGTGCAATAGACATATTAGCAATAATAATAATAAAATGGTTTTATCAATCATAAGGATGAAAAAGTAAGGCAATCTGTGATAACACGAATAACGAAAATATAATAATGATAATAATAACAGCTTTATTCCAAACAGTATTTGTGGTACAGGTAGAGAATTTTCAGCGTGCATTACAATATATATTGCATCTCATTACCTCATAAATTTTATAAGATTTTTAAATCAAAAAGCAACACCCAAAAAAAGAAGATAAATAAAAAGCAAAAGATACAGAGTTGCGTTTATATTTTAAACAATGTACCACAGGATATGAGATATAAAGTTGATGTGTGGTAGTAGATGAGAACAACAGTGTAATAGTAACGAGGAAAGGAAAACAAAAACTAGTGGGACTATTTGTCAGAGTGCTGCAGTAAGTTCATCGTGTCATACCTAACGGATTTCTCATCACATAACAGCTGTGCCAGATATGGTATTGTGGAGTTTTTGTATTTGGTAGTCCTAGCATATAGCCAGCCTCCTATAGCTGCTTCTAGTTCTACCAGATGAAATGCAAGGAGAGAGCTGCGTATAGAGAGGATGCTCGGGGTCCGACAATATTGTATTCGCTAGTTTCTTACATGACATTATATGTCTATCTATAATAGTGTTCACCAGTTGGTTTAACGATATCCCACTTGCCCTACTAACAGCTTTTAGTGCCCTTCTCAGCGAAGCAAAGTCTTTCTTAAGTAGTCCAGGAAAGACTAATGGGGAGCAGTAAAGGAGGATGGGTAGACTACAAGAATTTACAAACTGTGAAAGCAAAGACTGCTTTATACCAGACAGCCTAAATTTCCTAATGTAGAACGTTAAGCGAAACATCTTTCTAGTAACTAGCAAAATGTAGGAAGACCAGGAAAGATCGGTGGAAAAACTCAGCCCATGATTAAACAAACAAATGTTCAGGTAGACGTAGTAGTCGATAAAGGCTAATAAAAACAAATGAACTGATTACGTAATGCTAGATTGATTGTAAGGGAAGTAAATGAAACACGTTTTAATGAAGATGTGATAAGATTAGGGGATGATAAGTAAGGTGTAGTGGAGACGTCATCAGTTAGTTCTTAAAATAGGCCAAGGGAGGGATAATGGTTGTGGACGAACTTCTTTTGAATGCATAGTGTAGGATTAATAGTTCGAATGCCTCAGCTGTATGCAGTAGACGATGAATACGAAGTCTATTGGAAAGATTCTGTGGGATACGATGAATTACTTTGAAAGCTCTCGTTTTAGAAAACAAAAGATTGAGCGAAGAAATATTTACTTTTCAATTAGATCCTCATCTCTGGCTCTACTCTAATATATATATAGCTCTCGTTTTCTCCACTACATGACCACTATCAACTAAATGTGACAGAATTGAGCTACGGATTGTTTTTGTCTGTCCTTTGCCAAGCCACCACGATGGGAGATGTTCAATAGTGACACGTTGGCTAAGCTGTCTAGTAGTAGTGTGCCCAACATAACTGTCACCGCACGTGCAGTTGAATTGATAAATACACTTAGATGTGGCAAAACTATCAAGCTTATCCTTCGTTTGCGTCCCAATCATTCTTCGGCTAGAGAATGACAAACATAGGTGTGCTGCGTAAAATGTTCTACGTATACTCCTTGAAAGTCTTTGGAATAGAATCTCACTTGATAAGTCACCATTAAATTGTAACTTAATAAATAGAGGCTTTTTACGTGCAGTCAGTCTCAGGTTTTCTCTCCAATGTTTTCATATGTTTCTTTATGAAACTACTTGGATAGCCTATCTCCGTCAAAGAATTATTGACATATTCAAAGTTTTTTTTGTACGTGGTCATCTGTACATACCTGCTCTGATGGTAATACTCCTATTTGGTTAAGTTTTTTGAGAGAGCCGGTCATGAGTTTCTCCGCTCTTACATTCAGGTCTTTGAAACTTACCAAGAGATTGAAATTTACTTTGATTACTCAAAATACCTTCCATTTTTTCAACATAATCACTTTTATCCAGTAAAACTACACGGTCACCTATATCTGGCTTGCTAATGATTAGGTTTTCATTACTTCTAAGTTCTCTTAGACGAAGCGTCGTTTCAATCACAGACAGAACGGATGAAGATGTCAGAGTCAGACATATGATCGGAAAGGCAAGATATATGCCTTCAATTAGAGATCAGTTTGAAAATCCTCTCCACTCAGCATAAAGAACAAGATCCAGATTTTCAACACAAATGTTAAGGTATTCAAATCTTTTGTATAGGTCAAAAACTTGATGAACACGTCACAAAAAGCATTTCCAACAGGCTACTGTAAACTTTTATCAACAACTGCCCACATTGTCGGCTTTATATTGAAGATCAAACAGTTGACCAGAATGAATAAAGCACAAGAAACTTTGGAAATAAACTAATCAGGAGCCTATTACTCAACATATATGAGAAGAAATATCGAAATGGATCAGACATTCGATGAAGAGGCCGTCGGATGACATCGCGCTTCAAGGCATCACATTTGAGTGGAATGCGAATCGGTCGTCCGAGAGTAACATGGATGAACTTGTGCGAAGTGGAGATGAGAGATTAATAGGCAATCGTGAACCCAACTGAAGAAGGACAGCAGGAAATAGAACAATGTGGAGATGTGTTGTTCAAGCTCTGCTGATATTCCACTCGGAACCCAAGGGAACAATGATAATAATAATAGCAGCTTTATTCCAAAACAGTACTTGCGATACAGAATGGAATTCTCACCATTCTACTACAGTATCCCATCCAGTTTGTACATTAACAATAAAATAAAATTCCACATAGATTATGGGTAATCTCAGTTAGTTTTGACAACAACATACTGGCATGTCGGTAGCAAAACCAAAATTGAACAGTGTTTGAAGGTGTTAGAAAAGTAGATGCTACCATATTTACTGGCGTAAGCAGAAGAAAGAAACAAAGCATCACATAAAAGAGAAAAAAGAGAGAGAAAAGGAAAAGAAAGAAAGAAAACGTTGTACCTATAAATGACATGAGTTGGAAAGACGAGATCCAGTTGTTCTACTGACTATTTAATAAGTTTTAGGCATCACGCCAAATGCTTTCCTTATCGCACAGAACACAGGCTAAGTAGGGTATGGTCGGGTTTTTGTACTTTCTAGTGCGAGCATTTAGTTTTCTATATAGGCTTCTGGTTTCGCCTGCCTGATGAGATACAAGGGAGAGTTGTGAATGAAGAGGGTGGTGGTGTGAGTTAGATAGATAGAATGGATTTAGCCCATTTTTCACATGATCCCAAATGCCTGTCGATCAGAATATTAACAAGCTGGTTAAGTGGCACGTAGCTTACCCTTCTGACAACCTTTAACATCCTGCGTAATAAGGTATGGTGTTTCTTCAGTAGCCCTGGAAAAACTAAGGGGGAACAATATAGAATAACAGGCAGAATACGAGAGTTAACGAATTGTAAGAGTAAGGGTTGTGTTATACCAGAATGTCTTAACTTCTTGATGTAGAAGGTAGGACGGAATATTTTCTTAGAAATCATCAAGATATGAAACGACCAGGAAAGATCAGCTGATAGAATGACGACCGGCTTGGTTTTCTATTTCAGTGCCATGTATGTTGCACACCAGTTTTCTTGGGTCAGATTTGTGCCTAAAGGTGAAATTGACTGTTTGGCATTTGGGTGGGGTTTAAGGTATAACATAATATATATAATAATACAATAAGCCGTGATTACAAACTCGAAACCAATCGAATTCCTACAAACTAACATTTGAAAATTTACATAAAGCAATAAGAAGAATAATTTGTCTGAATCGTGTAATGTATTCACGCAACACATTTCGAACAATCTGATCACACACGGACTTGTCATAGGAATATATATGAAATTAGTAGAGTTAAGAAAATAGACTTAGGTCAAGTTAAAAGCACACATTGAAGGTTAAAATAACAATGAAGACCACTAAACCAAATAAGAGAGGTTTTAATTCATCTACCCTGACTGGTATCAAAACGAAGTTCACCAAAGGAGGTTTAGTGCGATGACGAATTGTTGGTTTGAACGCATAAAGGTGGTTTAAACTTTCCTAATTGCTAGGGCTTCCACAAACTTTAGGATACTCCCCAAACACCTTTTGTAGATAGGTCTAAAAGATCTTTTAACGTCAATTTTATTCCCTATCTCTTCTGTAATATGTTTCGCAATAGAGGAGCTAGGTTTGCTGTTCTCACCGTTTATAGGTTCTGAAGATTCTATTTGTTTCTGAAGCCATTTAGGAATATGCTCTGAAGCCAACCCTTACTTGCAGAGATCGATGAGTCCTTCATCCTATGTATGTGTGTCCACGCGTACATTCATACTGGTAAATACAGTGAGATGTGACGTCATTTTTCTCATGTTCGAAGGGCTTAGATGAATGGATATATTGGCTTCAAGTTCTCAATTATTATGATATTAGCTGCATAAAAAGTCTTTTAAACAGCAGCAGCGTTCAATCTTTGTCTAGTTATCAAGCTGCTATGATGACCCATATAGGGTAGCCTAATGCACACGTCTTTCTTAGGGGCGAGTTGAAGAGAGAGTAGGTCTTGGTGTTCCACTGACTACTACTTTATATCTCCTGATGAACTTGTCTGGATAATTGTTATCAACCAGAGTTTGTGTCAACTTTCTTCCTTCTTCATCGAGTGTGTCTGTCATCAGTGTATATTCGTTGCATTCTACTGAAGAGGTGCACTTTACTAAGGAAGGCTCTTTTGTATCGAACAGGGCAGAAACTGTGGTAATTAAGATACTGTCCTGTGTGTTGCGCAAATATGCACATTACACGATTCAGACAAATTACGTTTTCCTTCTTATTGCTTTGCCTAAATTCATAAAAAGGGAACTAATTGTTTTAAAATCTGAAACTTGGTTATTAAACAAAAATACAACAAGTTAGTCGTACTGAATTATAATTAATAGAATAAAACAAAAATAAAATAAGACAAATGACCAGAAATCATTTCCAAAAACTTTGAAATTATCAATAAAAAAATGGTAATATTAGTAGTAGTGGTGGTAGGAATACTTTAAAATTCCAAAATCACGCCACTGTAGGACACAAGCGCATTTGTCTGCATAAATATCAAATCATAATAAATAATAATAACAATAATGAGGAGAATACAAATTTGGCGCACTATATAATAAAGTCGTCTACATATATTTACAATCTCAATATTCAACATTAAATACCACATGGCGTTTTAATCAATATTTATTGATTAAATAAAATAAGAACAAGAATACAAGAGAGAAAAGAAGGGATAGTCCAATATAAATAAAAATAAATGATATGCACGATAGATAAGGTAATATCAGTGGATATATATATATATATAGAGAGAGAGAGAGAGAGAGAGAGAGAGAATAGACGATAGGATAGGCAAAAACCAGCAAACAGTGAGTTCAACTCAATGGAGGTGGTAGTGGAGTTATGCTTGTTTATTACTGGAAATAACATAATTTTAACATGAGATTCTCCTTCATACAAGTGAGAATTTTACTTTAGTGTTGTGAGGATAGATTAGGTGGGTGGGTTGGGGCGGGGTTAGAGAGGAAAACAAAACAGGAATGCTATTTATCTCTGGAAAAAATCGATGATTTGTTTGTATTATTCCGTGAACAATATGTGGTATTTAGTTAATAATAATAATAGTGATAATGAGTAATGTTATTGGTGGCTTTTATTTGTTTTTTTGTTTGTGGTCTATTGTCCTTATGGGTGATTAGGACAGAACTGGTGGGCTATGTTGTGCCTTCCTATAATGATGTAAGAAGAGGCAGTAAAGTGAAAAATGTAAAAAAAAAATAAATATCGATTAGATTAAAACAAAATTAAATGTCGTTTTATAATTTAAAGTAGTAATAGCAATGCTACATAGAAAAAAAAACAACACAATAAAATTAAAAAATGCAGAATTTACTTGTCATTTGCGTGGATCACACTAATCGTATTATTGCTGGTTAATGTTCACAAAGGGGGATCAATGTACAACGATGCTACTACTATACACTACTGATTTACTAATTAACCAGTAGTGTTAGCTAGCCAGTTAAATAAAAAAAACAGACCTCAACATCAGAACAGTTGTTTCGCTTGTTCAAAGGATGAGATTTCAACATGAATTGTGTAGATTGCAATAGAAGGAAGTGTATATAGAAAACCTACATCAACTAACTGGTCAGTATACTGATTTTTTCAGCTTCTTGCCATTGAAATACAAACGCAATCTGATAAAGTGGTTGGTCCACCACAAAGCAAGAGCAATCTGCTCGGATGAATGTCTTGATGAGGAACTTATTAATACTAAACGGTTGCTGAGTGAAAATGAATATGAATCTAAAATCAAATCAGACCAAGGTACCAAAAGTTCTTAAAAAGGCCTTATTCTCACAAATTCAGGTCATCGTGGACAACACCAGCGAAAGACTAACACAGCGCCTTAGAAATGCGATAAAAAAGAGCATTTCCTGCTAACGAATTACACTGTGTCTTCAAACCCCCTCACTCCTCTTCTACGTTCGGGAGTAAAAGATAAATCGCCTAGTTTCGCCTCTCAATTTAAATGCTCCTGTGAAGTGAGCCAGTTAGTTGCATAGGCCGTACAATTACGCGTGTTTCTCATCGAATTTCCGAACATCACCCTGCATAGTTGGTGGTTAAGTAAAGGACAAACAAAATATATTCACATAGCGCTATTCTATCTCATTCTGTGGATGATACACAGAACACAAAACTGATGTCAACGAGATGGCTTTCAAAGTCATCTACCGCATACCAAATAATCTGAACATACCACCTTAAGAGTTCGTCTACTACAACATATTGCTGAGACTGGCCGTTGGGATCCACATTAAACAAGCCTAACTTATGTGCCCAAAAGAAGCTGGTTCAGACATTTTTCTTACCCTGGCTATGTATCTAGGTTCGAATGATCCTCAACATTTTTGTAGAAATTTCCTTAACAAATCGATATGATTTAAAAAGCACACTAATATTGTTATTGACTAGTAATCTAGAATATTCTATGTATAAAAACATATGTGTATATTTACAATTGTAGAGCCAGAGGAGGAGGAAATTATCGAAAAGGATATTCTTTGCTTATTTATTTTGTGTTTTATAGATGTCTGAATCAATATACTTTTGCTAAATTGTGAATTCAATTGTTCAAGTTAGTTTTGTTATTTCTATTGAATGAGATAACTCGATTATATTGGAATGGAATGTCCAGCCCTTTGTTGGCATACAGCTCTCATGGCCTAATGGATTAAAGTAACATCTTTACGCTTAATATTATTATTGTCATTAATATTAGTATTGTTATTATTATTATTAGTAGTAGTGGTAGTAATAGTATTAGTAGTTCTAGTAGTGTAGTGTAGTGTGGAGTGATGCAGATTGATTGATTGACTGGAGTAGTCAAAACTGAAATCAATATTTTAACTCAATACAGCTGCAGAAGTAGAAGAATTTATTCTTTAAATCTACATTGTGGACATGAAATAACCCAATCGGACAATTTTATTTAACCTTGAAACAAGTGCCAACCAATCAGAACAGCTTATCCTCCTCTAACCTACCTGATGAACTTTAATATGGCTAGGAATGTATAAATACGATATGATTCTCCTTAAGAAAGGTCCGTTATCTCTTTTGCCGTTACATTAGAGACAGTTGCCAGTCTCCCGCACACACACACACACACACACACAAACCCTTCAATATTACAGCGGTGATGAATACCCTTCGAACACAGCACATATGAATCCACACGAAACACCGATTAATTCATTGAGTGTACGCATAGAAAAAGATGACAATTACACATGAGAGAATGCTAGAGGTGTGCAGTTGACAACAAATGACAGTTGGATGAGATGGGGGGGGCAGGACGGAAAAAGGCAATAACACCACACCCAAAACTAAATTTTAAAAAAATCTGAAGATAAACCGGGTAATCTTCTACTGCGTTTTCTTTCCGCGCTTATTCACTGAAAAGAAAAACATCAGATGAATACAGGGAAAAGGAAGAAGAACAAAAAAAGGCAACGAACACCATGTGTGTATAAATACATCAACACATCTAACCAAATCACAACTATGACTACATACACACACACACACGCATGAGGATTGACAAACCTGTTGATTCTACATGATTATTCTAATGCCTAGGTATAGAAGACAATTAAAATAAGAAACGTGATATATATATAAATCATATAGACAAAAAATTATGTAATTAGAGCGCATGTGTTTGTTATCAAAATATGAAATATATTTTAATATATATATATATGTGTAAAATTCGGGCACCGTGGTAGTAAGCAATTCCATATTAGTTTGTTCATTAGATGTTATATCACACAGTCAGTGAAACAGTATTATTATTTACTGGATGACAAAGTTTGGAATACAATTTACTACTGTTCATAATCACTTCACCAATTATAACCAGACGACTTCGAAACTTCCGTTTTATACCTTTTCTTTGTTCTTTCCACCTATTTGTCGTCATTGGGGTAGTAGAATTTTCTAGATCTCTGGGTGGACAGGTGTTGAATCATTCCTGTGACACGTATTCACTCTCAGTTGATTCGATAACCAAAGCTTATGTTATGAATCTCTCCCTCCACCATGTTAGTTGGATTAGATTTTGAAACTATCATCTTATCCCATCAGGCCTATTGTATGATTGTAGTGAGTGCTATAGCTGAACTATTCTCTAGATTTCTTATCGTATTATTAGGGTCAACTAATCTAGGTTTTGCTAGTAGGTTTTTATGTCCAGCTAGTCTGACTGCCCCTGACCACATACACATACATGTCAAACATGCACAAGACAACACCAACAATAAGGAATCTAAATCATCACAGTAGTAATTCCATACAAAGAACGAACCTCAGAAGCCACCTTACGGTGAAGAATTCTTAACAAGACAGGAATAAAAGTGGCTGGCACTCAAACCATCCACACACTTAATTAAAAACAAGCATTGTCGGTTAAAGGATCAATTCTGTGGAGCCTTTACAATAAAACAATTTAGTTTATCTCATACCCTGCTGCTGCAATGATTGTCAGATCAGACACATAGGTCAAAGCAGTAGAACAAGGGCAGTCAAACTAGCCCACCATAAAAACCCAGCAGCAAAATCTAAATTACTTGACCCGAATAATATAAGAAATCTAGAGAATAGTTCAGCTATAGCACTACACTACATGCAATTACACACAACCATATAATAACGACGGGATGGGATAAGACGACAGTTTTAAAATGTAATACAACTAATATGGTGGTGGGAGAGATTGATAACAGAAGCTTCGTTTATCGAATCAACTGAGAGTGAATACGTGTAATAGGAATGATTCAACACCCGTCCAGTCGTATTTCTGGAAAATTCTACCACCCCAACGACGACAAATAGAAGAGGACAAAGAAAACTATAAAACGGAAGTTTTGAAGTCATGTGTGATGATAATTGACGAAATGATTATGAACAATAAATTCCCAATCTGTATGTTTCATTATATACAACCGATGAAAATGAATACAAATCACAAAAAGATTATTTTATTGTCTATGCATTATTACATGTTATCTATCGCTTTCACTGGATTGAACTGACCTCTTCAGCCGACGTCTTTAGATTACATATCCTCTTAGGTTTCTTTTAAAAATTATTTTCATACGGTTTATTTGACAGTGTGGCTTAGCAGGGGAATCCAAGACACTCGACATATATCTTGTTGAAGACAATATAACCTGGATATGTTTGCATTCGAGTGGGTGATATTCCAAATGAGACCTGGTATTGAATCTTAGTGGAAACACTCACTTACTCACTCACCAAGAAGCAGATACATACACATCCCCAGATGATAACGTAATGATAACATAACATAGAAAAGTGACTGAAAGTGAATCTAAAAGTGCCCGAAAATTGGGAGGTAGGAGATTGGTGAAAATACTGCGGGGACACACATTTTAAGCTATTGTGAACAATTTTTTTTTAACTGTTTCACTGTGTGATACATTTAATAATCAAACTAATATGGAACTATTGTGAACAACTCTGAGTGATCTCAATCACTGATTCTTTAGTCATATCCAGACTCTATGATCAGACGATGTGAATATTTTCCTACATAGACAGAAACAATAAACACTGGTGTGTAAAACTATCACTACGTCAAACTCTTTCTCTCTCTCTCCAAAGAATACGGTACAGTTAGATCCCTGTACGATATGCTTCTTTCAACACAGACGGTGAAGTTTTATAATGTTATTGAATAATTTGATTTTCTTACCTATTGTGTACACACTGAAAGGAGAATGAAATTCGCTTTAAAAGATGTGAGAACGCCATATTTACTCATAGCCAAGAAGAAGAAGTTAACGGAGTTTGTAAAGTAAACATACTGTAATACATCCTTGTATCCTGTCTATTATTCTCTATTGTTTCCCCTTAGTTTTTCCACGGCTACTGAAGAAGGACTATATCTTATTAGGTAGGCTGTTAAAGGTTTTCAGAAGGGTAAGCTACGTGCCACTTAACCAGCTTGTTAATATTCTGATCGACAGGCATTTGGACTCATGTGAAAAATGGGCTAAATCCATTCTATCTATCTAACTCACACCACCACCGTCTTCATTCACAACTCTCCCCGTGTATCTCATCAGGCAGGCAGAACAAGAAGCCTATATAGAAAACTATATGCTCGCACTAGAAAGTACAAAAACCCAACCATACC